CCTAAATATTATATTGTGCAGCCCTAATGCGAGGTATGGAAAGTAACGTAACGCATTCCTTTCCATAAAAAGTAACTAATGGCCCATTTCCACAGAGCGGTACAGTTTGGTTCGGTACACTTTTATGGCTGTTTCCACTGTCAAAAGAGACCTAAAATTGAACTGTACCGTACCACTTTTTGGTGACCCTTTGCAAACGATACCTAGCATGGCAAAAGGGTACCAAAAGGTGGAGCTAGCTGAACACGGTTGGTTTTCAGAGATACATCACTTGATCGTGGACAAGCAGGAGAACAGTGGCGTAGCGGACAGGCCCGCAGGGCATGCACACAAAGTTCACAGGTCTGTGTTCTCTGAACCCCTCTCAAACGGTGGACTACTTCATCCTGATTGCTTGCCGCCGAACCGCGTCATAGCTCATTACCATAAAGTTGACTTGATTTCAAATCTTCCTCGACGCCCACACCGGAGAAGACGTGCCGCGCTGCTCCTCGCCACCGGTTGTCATTGAAAATGAATGACTTCCGGCTATTTTGACGCTCTTGTCGCTTGTGATCGCTACCCCATGTCGTCGCTCCACCCCGCCCCCTTTTCCGCTCCTCAATTTATGATCACTTCCTCGCGTCGTCGCTCCACTGACTCTCCCCGTCCCCTCAATTTGTGATCGCTCCCCCACCCCCCCTGCAGGGATCCTTTCCTCGCGTCGTCGCTCCACCAACTCTCCCCGTCCCCTCAATTTGTGATCGCTCGAATTCGGGCTCCCCCGTCAGTGATCCCTGCAGGGGCCCCCCCGCATTTGCGCTACGCCACTGCAGGAGAACGAAACCAAAGGAAGCGACATTTTTAAAAACACAGCCGAGACATTACACCAGTGTAACTTACACAGATAATAACTAGCCATGGTCGACCTGAGCTCAGACAAACCTTGTCGTCGTCTTAATAAACAGCCGAGAAGAGCAAAATCTGCCGTGTCCTGTTGTTGTTTTACAAGCCCAGCTCAGATTGGGTTGGGTGGTGTGGGACCAGCTGGGTTCAATAATGCATTACTCACTTTCTAAAGTAACCTTCCCAGGTCCTGCATAGTATATTTCTTGTTCTCATATGTATGTACAGTATTGTTTTCTCCAGCGTGTCAGGTAAACGTCTAGGTGTGGTCCTCTGGGTACGGCAGCAGCACACGCAGCAGGACATCCTGACATTTAACTATCAAAAATACTGTGAATACATTGGCACGGCCTTACGTTTAATTAAGAGTAGCTCTGATGCTCTCCGGGGATCTGGAAAAATGTCAGCACCCAATCGCCTCTGGAGGGGGTCTCAGCAGCTAGCAAAACCGCTACGATGGCGGCTTCTGCGAGATGTAGGATTCAATAACAAATCGCTGCACTTTGATGAATCGAGGACAAAAAATGTCAGCAAACAACCCGTCATGTCTACTACTAGTGTTCTTCTACTCATGCAAACACAGTGGCCACTTTATTAGGTACACTGCTCAACGACATGAATATCTAGAGCAATACAACTTGAAAGAAACGTGTGTGTGTGTGTGTGTGTGTGTGTGTGTGTTTAAGCTTTTTAAAGTTCGTGCTTCATCATGCTCCATTTCAAACTGGTCAAAATAAACAATAAATCTATGTTTTATTATACTACATTAATTATGTTACTCACAAAACAGGTTTTTATAATAAAATTGACCAAAAATACAAGTCTAAAGAATAATCTATATTCCAAACACTATGTAGAGTAATTTATTAATGGAGAGATGTAAATATATACATAATATAATGCTTATTCCTAAATATTTTCCTTTACTATAAATCACTACACAATTTTAAATGTGTTTTATTGGATATTTTGTTTTTGCTTTCATATATTAGTTTGTTTCTGTTTGGTACAGCATATTATGTACAGTAAATAACTGAACGGCGACACAGTGGCGCAGTAGGTAGTGCTGTCTCCTCACAGCAAGAAGGTCGCTGGTTCGATCCTCAGCTCAGTTGCCGTTTCTTTGTGGAGTTTGCATGTTCTCCCTGCGTTCCCGTGGGTTTCCTCTGGGTGCTCCGGTTTCCCCCACAGTCCAAAGACATGCGGTACTGGTGAACTGGGTAGGCTAATTGTCCGTAGTGTATGAGTGTGTGTGTGGGGATGTTTGGATACTGGATAAGTTGGCGGTTCATTCCGCTGTGGCTACCCCGGCTTCATAAAGGGACTAAGCCGACAAGAAAACGAAAGAATGAATGAATGAATGAATGAATGAATGAATGAATGAATGAATGAATTGAATAGCAGCTACTAGCTTAGCTCACTGCATTTTGAAGCCGCTATTCAGCACTTCAACATTACTCAGAGAGGATGATGCAATCCTGCTGTATCCGTCTCTCTTCAGGTGCATCTCTCTCTTTCTCTTTTGGCTTCTGCAATCATCAGGGCTGTCAATAAATCAGATTTCATTCTGTCAGAGCTGATGTCAAGCTTGAGTTAAGAATTAGATTTGACAAGAGGACGCAGTGGGCAATCCCTGCTGCTTTCTGAAACACTGCACTGCAAAAAAAAATAGCTTTTTTACTTGGAGCTTTTGTCTTGTCTATAGTCTAAACAGCTAAAATTCTTTACATTAAGAAGCATTTTAAAGAGAAGTAAAACATGTAGTTGTGTTTTTAGAAATAATGTGTCAGAATTAAGTGAGTTTTTCCTTAAAGCAAGCAAAATAACCTGCAAATGGGGTATTTTTTTTTTTGTTTAAAAACACAAAAATGTGTACCCGTTCGTACTTACTTATTGCTTGCTATATTAAACAAAATACAAAAGAATGTGTCCTAGAACATTCATTCATTAAATGCAGCATTTCAATCTGACTTACACTAACCAGCCACTTTATTAGGTACACCATACTAGTACCGGGTTGGACCCTCTTTTGCCTTCAGAACTGCTTTAATCCTTGGTGGATTCAACAAGCTACTGGAAATATTCCTCAGAGATTTTGCTCCATATTGACATGATAGCATCACACAGTTGCTGCAGATTTGTCGGCTGCACATCCATGATGCCAATCTCCCGTTCCACCACATCCCAAAGCTGCTCTATTGGATTGAGCTCTGGTGACTGTGGAGGCCATTTGAGTACAGTGAACTCATCGTCATGTTCACCAGTCAGAGATGATTGAACTTTATGACATGCTGCGTTATCCTGCTGGAAGTAGCCATCAGAAAGTGGAGACACTGTGCTCATGAAGGGATGGACATGGTGAGCAGCAATACTCAGGTAGGCTGTGGCGTTGATGCTCAATTGGTACTAATGGACCCAAAGAAAATCTCCCCCACACCATTACACCACCACCACCAGCCTGAACTGTTAAAGCAAGGCAGGATGGATCCATGCTTACATGTTGTTGACACTCCAAGCAGACGTAGCTCAGGGTACATATTACTCGGTTCTCAAAAATGTAGCCCTGTGCACATATCTCTAATAAGCCTGGGTTGTACAGCACTTGTTGCGTTCTTTGCTTGTGAAAAATAAAAAAAATCTGCTGAATGAGTGAATGCAAAAGTACAACTAACTCTGCTCTGCTCAATGGAAAACTCCGGACTGAAAACTGAGAGCTGTTATTGTCTGTAACGATTGTAAAGCTGTTTGTATTCCCCAGCGGAGGTTATAAGCTCACTAATGGAGCTTCGCTGCGGTTTGTGTGAATACTGTCGTTTAGTGTGCTTTTACCCTTTCCGCACTTAACGGTCTCTTAACTAGAACAGAAGATGTTTACTGTTTACACTCCTGCAAAATTTTTATGCATTTTCTAAAAATTTCACAAGAGCCATTTCAGCACATTTCTATAATAGTTTTAATAACTCATTTCTAATCACTGATTTATTTTCTCTTTGTAAATAATATTAGACTAGATATTCTTCAAGACACTAGTGTTCAGCTTAAAGTGCCATTTAAAGGCTTCACTAGGGTAATTAGGGTAAAGTTAGGGTAATTAGGCAAGTCATTGTATGCAGCAACAGTGGTTTGTTCTGGAGACAATTCAACACTAATATTGCTGAAGGGGCGAATAATATTGAGCTTAAAATGGCTTTAAAACAAATAAAAACTGCTTTTATTCTAGCCGAAATAAAACAAATAAGACTTTCTCCAGAAGAACAAATATTATCAGACATACTGTGAAAATTTCCTTGCTCTGTTAAAAATAATTTAAGAAATATATATTAAAAAATATATATCAAAAGGGGGCTAATAATTACTTTTAATCAAAATAACTAATTAATTATTAAAACAACTATTAATGTAAGCTTTATAAATGCTTTGGCAATGCATTTGTAACATGTCATGCCAATAAAGCAATTATTAAATTGAGAAAGACAGAAAGAAAGAAAGAAAGAAAGAAAGAAAGAAAGAAAGAAAGAAAGAAAGAAAGAAAGAAAGAAAAAAAGAAAGAAAAAAAAGAAAGAAAGAAAGAAAGAAAGAAAGAAAGAAAGAAAGAAAGAAAGAAAGAAAGAAAGAAAGAAAGAAAAAAAGAAAGAAAAAAAAGAAAGAAAGAAAGAAAGAAAAGAAAGAAAAAAGAAAGAAAAAAAGAAAGAAAGAAAGAAAGAAAGAAAGAAAGAAAGAAAGAAAGAAAGAAAAGAAAAAAAGAAAGAAAGAAAAGAAAAAAAAGAAAGAAAGAAAGAAAGAAAGAAAGAAAAGAAAGAAAAAAGAAAGAAAAAAGAAAGAAAGAAAGAAAAGAAAGAAAAAAGAAAGAAAAAAAGAAAGAAAGAAAGAAAGAAAGAAAGAAAGAAAAAAAGAAAGAAAGAAAGAAAGAAAGAAAAGAAAAAAAGAAAGAAAGAAAGAAAGAAAGAAAAAAAGAAAGAAAGAAAAAAAAGAAAGAAAGAAAGAAAGAAAGAAAGAAAGAAAGAAAGAAAGAAAGAAAGAAAGAAAGAAAGAATTGTGTTCAGAGATTCAGAGTTGCTCTGAATGGCGCATCATGTTAGCGAGCGCGGCGCGTCATCTGCGCACACAGACATTTCCAAGAGAGAGAGAAAGAGAGATAAAGCCAGAGGGAGGGAGACATGAAAAACTGGAGTCTTACCTGCAGACCGTCGATGGGGAACCATCATCACTGCGACGCCAACATGACGCGTGAGCCCGCGGTCAGTAACGCGACGGCGGTGCGGCGCGACGCGGGGTTCGCGGGTCCGGTGCTCGCGCTGCTCACCGGGATGATGGTCGTCCTGATCGCGCTGATCGTGTGCGGCAACGCGCTGGTCATCGTCGCCTTCAAGATGGACAAGAGTTTGCGCAAACAGAGCAATTATTTCCTGCTAAACCTGGCCATCTCAGACTTCCTCGTGGGTAAGCAAAGTTGATTTCACATTCACAACTCCGTCTAGATGTTAAACTTTGATTATTTTCCACTTGTTTCAATGTCCTCCTGCGTTGATGAGTGCGCGCTGAGCTCCTGAAAACAAAATAAAACTGAGTTTTAAGGAATAAGCGGACACTTTATTTTAAGGTTACACCTTACATGCACTTTACTATAGTAATTACACAATTGCAGCTAATCCTTACCCACATTCTAAGCCCAACCACATTTAATACATACACTATAAACAAAAGGTCACGACTACAAGTGTTTAAGTTACTTTAACTTATTATAAAATATTAATCAGGTTTCAACTAAGTTATGCCAAGCTTATTTGATAGCTATATAAGTTGAGATAGGGAGATACGCTTATTTGATTCAGCTAAATGAATTATTCAGCACATTGTTTTACAGTGAAGGTAATTAATAATAATAATAAAGTGAAGGTTAGCACTGGACTCCCTTTTGCCTTCAGAACTGCTTTAATCCTTTGTGGATTCAACACTGGAAATATTCCTCAGAGGTTTTGCTCCATATTGACATGATAGCATCACACAGTTGCTGCAGATTTGTCGGCTGCACATCCATGATGCCAATCTCCCGTTCCACCACATCCCAAACGTGTTTCCTAGTACTGGGTTTCAGCTGGATATGGCATCCGCTGTGTAAAACCTATGCTGGAAAAGTTGGCGGTTCATTCCACTGTGCTGACTCCTGATAAATAAAGGGACTAAGCTGAAGGAAAATGAATGAATGAATTACTCAGTAGTAAAATCTTAGTAAAAACTTTTTAAAAACCTGAATCAATATTGGAGTGACCATTGCACGCTGGAGAAAGGAGGACACAATAGCTGAAGGATTTCTGAAGGATGTTGGACTGAAGCAGCTGATATTCATTTACACTGAGAAAGGGTTGCTGAACCACTACTGAGAGACAGGGGCGCAACTGCACATTTACTGATGGGTATGCGGCTTCAACTTTTGCGCGCCCCCCTTCAATCCAACTATATTTTATAACAGGCAAGTGATAAAATGTGGAAAATATTTCCATCAATAAATTAAAAATATTTTTTCATAAAGATATCAATATGCTTAAAAAAATACAGTTTCACAGTTCTGAACAAAACTGAATTAGTATGAAGTAGAAAAAGGTATAATTACATTAAGCATGTTAGGTCGCAAAGAAATGCATCTCATACCACCCCAAATTTCTTCTCAATTTAATTTTCCCTTACTAAATGATTATAGCACCTTGACTAGCCTTGCTTTTGGATTTTTTTTTACTACATTTGTCAAAACAAAATGATAGACATGGGAGTCCTAAAGTGAAATAAAAAAGACTGTCAAATGTTTAGTGTAAAAAAAAAACAGAAACAAACTGTGTGAAATGTTCTGTTTAATTGAAAATTTATAACTTTGTTTGTAGCTAAAATTAAAATATTTTTGAGCTAAGAAGTTACCAAAAGGCCTGATGAATCAATATGATACATAATAAATTCATAAAAACATGTATATGGTATGAAAAATGGGGGGATGGGGTGGAAGGATTTTTTAATTTAATAAAATACAATATTATACGCATATAAAATGCTAAATAAACATTATTAACAAAAAAGATATATTACTTGAAACTTTTAATATGGAAAATTTCAAAAATAGTTTTGGCACAATGGCGCCCCCCATGTGTGGCGCCCCTATGCGCCGCGTATTCTGCATACCCCCTTTTTGCGCCACTGCTGAGAGATTGTAGCTGCTGTCTCTTTCACAGCCAAAATACACCTTCCAGTGTTTCCTCTATATGATGTTTTCCAGCTGTGGCGGCAGGCCTTTTTTAGACAGATCTACCAACTACCTGTGACGTCATTTTGATTACAAATGTCGTGAGCGCAGTATTAGAAGTCGAGATCGCATTTATGTAATTGCCTTTGAGCATGCGAATCTCTTTGCTTGCGCACCGATTTCCTCTGCTCGTGCACAAAACTTCTTGCACGCCCCCTCAAAGATCACAGATCTTCTTGTGCGCTCTCAAATAAACGCTGCTGAAGTGAGATTTAGTGCGTTTATGTAATGAGTATGTCTCCAGCATTTATTAGATTTGCTAGGAATATTTATGAATGTCTCTAATAGACCTGCAGAGCGATGTTAATGCGTCCTGAAGTAAAGTGAAACGGCTATACGTCGTGTTTGCTGGCCTCACGCAACACGCACCTGTCAGTCAGTCAGCACGTAACCTTAAAGGGTTAAACAAATGACGCACAGGACTACTACGGTTACAGAAAAGTTTGCACTGTTATAATTCACTTACCTTTTAATACGTTTTGCTGGGATTAAAACCCGCCATTAAGAAAGTACAATTTTTTGAATGAGAAGCTGTAATGTAGCCAACTTAGGCTCATTTCGAAAACGTAGCCCCGCGGACGTTTCTGAAGACCGCGATTTACGTGGCCGGAGGTACGTATGGCCGCATTTAGTTTTTTTCGATTGTGACGGCTCACCTCCGTGTGGAGGGCTTTCCCACCGCAACCAGTTTGTTCGCTTAGTGTTACGTCGGCGGAGCGGAGGCCCGGAGGAGAAGGAGCCGGCCGCGGCGACCACGACCGGGTTCAAGTCCAAGGAAGAGCAGTTCCAGAAATCATGTACGATGAAAAACAGAATCCAAAAAATAAAATCGAACAAGTTTTGCGACGGGGCGAGAATATGGCGAAACCCGAAAACGCGGTCAAAAAGCGGACGAGGGCTTTTGCTTTTTTTTTTTAATTTTTGGACGGCTTTTGTAAATCGTCGCTTGGGACAGACGATCTTTCGTCCGGTGGTTTTATGCGCGAGAACAGTGCGGGCGTGAACGGTGCACGCTCCCGAGACGCAAAAAAGCTCGCACAGCAGCCTCTCGCAGATTCGCGCGAAAAAAAACTGCACAATGAACGTACCTCCGGGGACGTATTTTGCGGCCTCCAGAAACGTTCGCTGGGCTACGTTTCCACAATGAGCCTGGGTTGAATGTAGCCGTGGCGTGATGAGTTTTGGCGTGGAAGAATGAAAGTAGCGGAAACCATGACTTCCTTTCTTCATGTGTTCAATACTTTTTCCCTGCATCATTTCATTTCACTGCACATAACTTCATTTGTAAAATAATTAGAATAATTATTATTTTAGTTATTAATATATGGTATTACAACATCCGCTAAAAAAATCCAAGTCAACAGCCCCTTTAGAACGTATGTTTTCAGAGAAAAGTGTATGCAAGGAAAGATGTTGTGACGGTTGAATGACTGTAGTTCTGCTTTCTTCTTCAGGTGCTTTCTGCATACCGGTGTACATGCCCTACATCTTGACAGGGAAATGGATGCTGGGAAAAGGACTGTGCAAGCTGTGGCTTGTTGTCGATTATCTTCTCTGCACCGCTTCGGTCTTCAACATCGTTCTTATCAGCTACGACCGCTATCTATCGGTTACAAAAGCGGTAAGGACTAAATGAATCTTCCATATGGAGTGATTTACAGCTGTGCATTCATTACAACTCAGCATTTGTAGCTCATTACAACCAGAAAGAGCGTCTCGGGTTGGTGATAAACTACAGCACTAGTGATGAAACTCATTATTACGGCAGCACATGCATTTATTTGTTTGCTTCGCTTTAATCAGTCGCGCATGAAAGCTTTTTATTAAGAAAGACCAAATATTATTCAGAAAGGAACAAGATTATGAAGCTCTGGCTTCTGTAATAACCAGCAGAAATTATTAAAATGCTTATTATAACAGCAAACTCGGGTCGACCTATACGCAGGGAGTGGATCTACATTACCCAATGCTCATTCATCTGCATGATTCATGAAAATATAACAGTTTAAACTCGGCTAACACTTTTAGGTCATTTTCAGACTTATATTGCACGAGGCAGTGGCGCAGTAGGTAGTGCGGTTGCCTCACAGCAAGAAGGTCGCTGGTTCGAACCTCGGCTAAGTTGGTGTTTCTGTGTGGAGTTTGCATGTTCTCCCTGCCTTCGCGTGGGTTTCCTCCGGGTGCTCTGGTTTCCCCCACAGTCCAAAGACATGCAGTACAGGTGAATTGGGTAGGCTAAATTGTCCATAGTGTATGAGTGTGTGTGTGGATGTTTCCCAGAGATGGGTTGTGGCTGGAGAGGCATCCGCTGCGTAAAAACTTGCTGGATAAGTTGGCGGTTCATTCCACTGTGGCAACCCCGGATTAATAAAGTGACTAAGCCGACAAGAAAATGGATAGATGAATGAGACTTATATTTACTTATTATTAACTTGGCGGCACGGTGGCTCAGTGGTCAGCACGATCGCCTCATAGCATGATGGTCACTGGTTCGAGCCCTGTGTGGAGTTTGCATGTTCACTCCATTCTGGCATGGGTTTCCTCCAGGTGCTCCGGGTTCCCCCACACAAACACATGCGCTGTAGGGGAATTGAATTAGCGAAATTGGTCAGTGTATGAGTGTTAAAGAGTGTGTATGGGTGTTTCCCAGTGTTGGGTTGTGGCTGGATAAGTTGGCGGTACATTCTGCTGTGGCGACCCCTGATTAATAAAGGGACTAAGCCAAAAAGAAATTGAATGAATGACTGATCTACGAACATTTAATGCAATTTTACTCCAAGTTTTTACAGCCGTTTGGTCATTTCCTAAATGAAGAGAACTCTCCTTGGTCTTGGTAGCATTCAAGCATTATAAATAGACCACACAAACTGAGCAAATGCACAAAAGTTTGATTCAAATGATCAAACAAAACTTGCCAAACACACACTCAATACACAATATAATGAGAGTAATTGACCAAGCTGTATATATTTCGGGATTCATTGTCATGGCTCTACCTTTGGCATGCTAAAGAGCCATTTGGGTGTCTGAATTCATGTTTGTGTGACGCTCATTAGTATTTGTTTAAAGAATTATGCTGTCACGGATGCCAGCAGCTGCATCTGTCGCATCCATCAACCTTTCTGATGGTAATTCCAGTCTTTTTGTGTTGATTTGAGTGTGGATGTGCTTCTCTTGAGCGGGTGGAAGGACAATGGAGCCCTACTGGCACGCTGTAAATAATACCTGCTAATAAACGGGTTCTGTATTTAGTGATTCACAAGTGTTTTCTGTTCATTTCCAGCTGTGAACGACTAAAACGTTAGTAAAAGTCACTTTGTTTGAATTGATTTTTTGAACATCAGAAGTGGTCAGAGGGGAGATCAACATCCCATAATGCAATTCACAACTGCTGATAAACCCAAAACATCATCAAATGTGTAACATGCTCATTAACAGGTATTTTTTCACAGTGTTTTACATCTTGCAGCTGCATTCAGAAACGATAGATATCCATCTTAGAAACGATGCGGTGTGGGGGCTCAGGGTCTTTCTGGTTCATTTCGATGAACTCCAAAACTAGTTTACTTCCAGTGGTTGGAGTCATGGTCGGTTGGCCTGCGAGACAGATAAAAAATATAGCAGGTGCAGGTAGGAGGTGCTGATCTGTATTCAAGCATCAGTGCCTCAAAGCTGATATATGATGCAGTCGGTAGCCAATGCAAGGAGATAAAGCAGGCTGTGACATGGGTTTAATGAAAACCGGTCGTGCTATTATGTGTCAAATTGCTTGGGAAATAAGTATTGAACCATTTTTCTCAGAAAACATACAGGGCTCAACAATAAGGTTGAGCCCGGGGCCAGCGTGTAAGATGCTTGGGACTAGGGCTGGGCGATTTAGCAAAAAAAATAAATAAATAAATCTAGGTTTTTTATAAAGTTTGAGGTTTTCGATTTTAAAAAAAAAAATTTATTGTGTCACTAGTCTTCTCAAAACATTAAAACAACATGACTGAAGTAACATTCTCTTTATAAGTGACTTGAAAACCCATCTGGTTAAGGAGCATTGTATTTTTAATGGCCATGTCATACAGAAATCGGTCAAGGTGTAAATAAATGTAAAACAGATTCACGAGTTAAATAGCGTTGCAGAAGATTTGAATACGAAACATTTGTGTAAATATTGCACTTTCAGGAATACAGAGGTATTTTTTGCAAGTTTTGCTGAGTCTAGGAAAGATTGGCTGTCAGCTCGGCTTTGACTTTGTCTTCTTCTGATTGAATGTCAGGTTGTAAAGCTGCTGCCTTTTTCTTAAAAACATACAGTGGAAGAAAAGGACTGAACATGGAAACTGTAAAGCCTAATTTAACCCAATGTGTGAAGTTGTGGACGTATAGCAGGAGCAAATACAAGTACTAGATGTGTGTCTAATATAAAATAATATATTGAATCTATTTTTCTTTTTCCCCCTTTTAAATATCGATCATTTGATGCGCTTTGCTCCACTCTCTGTATTATGCTGCCTGATCTGTCTGGATTACAACTAGGTCCGCTAAATGATGTCATGGGGGCGGCTACTTTCATTTTCACTGCTACAGTCCCTCACTTCTACTCGTGTTCAAACTAAAAGATCGGCGTGGTTTTTCACATGGCAGGTTTTTACGTCCTTCATACATGTTGAGATCGAGTTTATCGACTTGATGAGGGAATGTCTTGACAATCCACACAGACGTGCAACAAGTAAAATCCTACATGACTGCACGCTTTAACAGGCAGTCAAGCAGGTCGC